TTAGGGTTTAGGGATTAGGCTAAGGGTTTCAGGTTTAGGGTTTAGGGTCTAGGGTGTAGGGTTTAGGGCTTAGGGTGTATGTCACAGTTTAGGGTTTAGGGCTTAGGGCTTTACAGGGCTTATAGGGTTTATACGGGGTTTGAGGCCCATTCTTTAGAGTTTAATTGCATGTTGCTTTTCTAGGGGCCCCTACACGTTCTGTGCTCTGCAGCGTCGAAGCCCGCTGTACATAGGTTTAAAGTTTCGGGTTTAGGGGCTTAGGCCTCATGCTTTGGGGTCATGACATGAGCCTCTGCACGGGCGTCATTGGCTTGTGAGACATGTGGAGGTTTAGGGCTTAGGGTTAACATAGGAGCCTCAATACTTAGAATAGGTTTTTGGGGCCAATTATACTATAGTCATAATCAGGAACCCCCAAAATAGTATTGGTAAGTATCTAGGCTTCCAGTTTCTGTATTAACCCCTTGCAAAAGGTGGCGATCTTTGCTGCGCAGTCCATCGTAACGATTGAACCAAGACGCGGAATGTAAGTTTCGAGACCTAACGTGGTGACCTGATTACGAGACCCAGTGTTTCACATCTCCAATATGGTGCTATCCACGTAAAGAAGCCTGCCAAAATCGAGGGGGGTGCACCACCACGCACCCACCCAACAAAAATCAATGCTCGCACAGGAGGCCATGAAACCTAGCAGCTAAGAATCCTGAACCCTCTAAGTCAAGCCCTGCCCTAACCATAAACTACCAAACCCCCCCACCTGCGGCGAGGGCTGTAGTGGCTTTCATAAAGCATTAAACACAATAGGGGGGCATCCTTGAGCCGCCAAAAGAAATATTTGATCAGCGACCTTGCAGCGACTACCCACGTCATGAACACATTCAGGGTTTAGAGTTTACGGGGCTTAGGGGTTTTAGGGTTTAGGGTACCTGATCACCCTGCACCCTAAATGCCCTAGACAAAACCCCGAAAAGACCACGGTAGATCTTAGCACAAAGTGCGAGGCTTTAGACGACAGCCCCTGTCCCGCATAATTATACAAAGCCAAAACAACTTATACAGCAGAACTAATGGCCGAACAACTTCAAACGCAGGGCCAGCAACCCAATAAAGGACCCGTACCAACTACAAAACCTCAACGGTCGTAGAGACATCCACCAACAAAACCTTGAACAGGTCCCTACAGCGCCCTGTCAACATCTATCCACAATGATGTCTATTCTCTTGGCAGCTCATGAGTTTGAACTTGGGCTCGTAGAATACTGTGTGAAGCCCTACAAAACAGCACGCTAAACCGCTGAACCGTCAGGAAACTCCATCGACAACTGCACAGGAAACACAACACAAATCAGGAGGCCATCTCAAAAGCAAAAAGGCATGTGTAAGGTAGTGGCCTTAACAGTAAGACTGGCTTTCCAATCCTAGTATTTATAGCTATATATAGGTAATTCGATCCTCTACAGTACACAACAACCAAGACAAGCTGGGCCCCTCCACGTGCTGCCGCCGGGTTTGGCACCAAAGCCAAAGCCCTTAAAAGCCTTCCTGGGAGCGAAGCTGGAAAACGCCTAAACCCCAAATTACAATACCTGATTACAGGATTGTAATACAGGGGCCGTAACAACTAGAACTCGGCAATCTGTTCATGCTATACTGTAACATACGATATGGTAATAAGGAGCCCTATAAGGAATACTGTTGTCAACTACTTCGGCCCCTATCGTATATCGCTTCGACAATTTTGCAAGGGTCTTTCAAGCTTTGCTGAGGGTGGCTGTCGGGATTTCACGGTCGGGTGTTTAATGTTTTGGGGTTGAGGGAACTTGCCGCCTAAACCCTAAACCCTTTACCCTAAACCCTGAACCCAAAGCCCTGAACCTATAAACCCTATAAGCCCTATGAGCCCTAAACCCTTCAACCTAAACCCTAAAAAAGCTTCTCGGTGCGGTAAAAACTGTTCAGGATCCCGACAGAACCGGGACAGATGAGACTTGGCTAATATTAAGGTAAATACGTAATCTAGGGGCCTCAATAATTCATGGGGTTTGGGGGTCCTTTATCCTACGATTATAATAAGGACCCTCCCCCCAAAAAAAAACATAACAGGTAATTCTTGAGGCCCCTATATTAATGTCGAATTGCGGCTTGTCTCGTGACGTTCGCGGGAGGAGGCCAGGCTCTTGTCAAGAGAATCCTGCTTGGGGGTACTTTCCTGGGGCCTTAATTAGACTAAGGTTTTGGGGGCTCCCTGTTATAGTTATCTATAGTTATAGTATGGTATAATGGCCCCCACAACCCTATTCTAATTATTAAGGCCCCTATCTTACTTTCTAAGGCCGCGTCTGCGTTGCGATCCCATGTTCTGGGCAACAAAGCCAACAAAAGGCTTCAGGTGCGTCAGCTTGGGATTGCAAGGCGAACTTCAGGTTTAGGAAATGCCAGCAGAGATTCTAGGGTACGGCAGCCAAGCCCCAATCCCTAAACCCCAAACCCTAAACCGCACATGTATAATTCACATCGCCGTAATTGCACAGAACTTCACCCTAAACCCTAAACCCTGAACCCTAACCCCCCGTCATTGCACAGAACGTTTGGAGCAAGACGGCCAATGCAGTGCAGCAGTTCTGAGGTTCACGACGGGCCTACTCACACGGCCACGGAACTTCGGCTTCAAGAGGGCTTGGGGGGTTGAGGGCCTAGGGTCTAAAACCCTAAGCCCTAAACCCCCCTGATGTAGGGGCCTTAAGAATTAGGAACAGGGTTTTGGGCCAATTCTACTGTAATTCGATTAGGCTTAGGGAACTCCCCCCCCCCAAAATACTATAGGTAATTGCTAAGGCCCCTACATTAGGCCCTAAACCCTAAACCCTAAACCCCTAAACCCCTAAACCCTAAACTCTAATTACCAAGGCTTCCTACCTTAGGCCCTATAGGCCCTACTCTAAGGCCCCCCCCCCCCCCCCCCCCCCCCC